GTATGCATTGCTCCATGCTTGTTGTTGACTATTAGTCACTCACACTCGTCCAACATAGATTAAGTTCATCAACCAAACCAGACGTGCCGGATTACGCAGCCATAGTCGTTTCTTTCCTCAGGTGGTTAAACGTCAATGCTCCTAGATTGAGAGGTTAGGACAAGTGGCTTCGTAATTTAATTTACATGCTTACAAGCTTACATCTCATTATCACAACCATACTCGCTTACGGACTTATTCAGTCTCGGTCAGGGCTTTCTCTTGGGTCATTAAGCCTTGATGATCAGAGCCTGGCATTAGCCTTTTGATATCCCTGATTTAGGACCGGTATTGCGTATATACGCTAATACACACGCACACATTCGAGCAAACGTAGCAGAACTAGTGTTATATATAATTAGCCAAACCACTATATCTATATAGGGTTTTTATTTTCTTTTGTTTAATCGACTCTATATAGGAGGTAAGATGGAGCCGGATAATCTTTTTGCCCTAGTGTTAACATGATACTTGAAGAAATGAGACCCAGCTCTGATGATGTCCATCATATGATGTATGAAAGCTGAGCCCGTTTTTACGCGAAACGAGGGAGGAGGTATCGTGAACTGCGTCAATCTGACGTCGTATAAAAGCCAAACGGCTGCAGCACAACGGGATTCATCTGTCTTCTGGTGAGATCGACCTACGGATCTCTTCTCTATGCACTAGAATACGAAATGAAAGTCCCTCCAATAATTGCTGCAATCATGCATCGCTAGTTTCTTTTCAATTTTCCTTGTGTGCTGATGTTCTTTTATTATGTACTTAGTTCTGGCGGGAAGCTTTCTAAACGAGATCCTGAATTTTCCGCTTTTGGTCGCGTAGCCGCTCTACGAGAGTCGGGCCATTTGTCTTCAGCCGTGCTCAGCTGGCTTTTATCGACTGGTTGCGGCTTTTCAACCTCTTTTGGTGCTTGTACCCGTTCTAATTCTGATCTTAGTATTATCACAGGAGTAGAAAAGTCAATTTTTTCTGTGTGGTGGCCCGAGATGTCTTTAACAGATGCGATCACCAAGGTAAGGAGTTGAAAGTAATTTTATTGCACTCGCATAATTGTTTTCTCTTATTTTTGAGTACCCAATATAGTAAATTATCTGTTATTGGCTCTTCCATGTGATTCGTACAATTTCCAAATAAAACACTCTTAATCTTCATATGTCATTTTATACTTATATACTAAAGTCTTTTCAAGCTAGTGGGATAGAATCATTACTACTTCAAATCAGAATTTCTTGATTATACAATTAAGTTTGAATTGCAATGCCAGGGGTATTTTTTCCTTATTATTGAGGCCACTTATCTCCCGGATCATAACAATGATAGAAAAAAAATATCTAAGACGCCCATTTTATTCGTACAGCTCGGACTTTTGACATCAATTTGAGAACTACCAAATTTATTGCTGGCATACTATATAACTTTATCTTTCATTTAAATATTAAACGTCTTTTGGCATCCTTTTCATCCGTGAAGTTTGATATTTTGCGAGTGAATCGTCACAACTCCAAAATCGACAATGACTTGCTCAGATTATGTGGCCGTCGGCATTTTGACTTGTTAGCTTCCGCAGCCCTGAGCTACTGCTGTTCGCAAATTGACTATCTGCAAGCTCCATCCACTTCAAGGG